TTTCTAACATTTTGTTGGATACTGTTGACCTTCAAATTCTTGAGCGGTTGTTGTAAATAAAGATATTTATTATAATGTTAGTGATGCAATAATTGGAATAATGGAAATAAAATATTAAAAGAAAATGTATATGATAATGTATTTGTAGTGTGTTAAAAATGAATAATAATTTTAAAATAATGTTAATCACTAATTTAATTTAATATTTTGTAATATAAAGAAGAAGACAGAGCATATCTATACAAATTTTAACATAGTTTATTTTAGACTGAAACCATGTCTAATGGAAGTGGAGATCATGATGATGAAGGCTATGTTGTGAAACTACGTGGACTGCCATGGTCCACTACTATTGATGAAATCATGAAATTCTTCAGTGATTGTTCTATTTCAAATGGTAAAAATGGTGTTCATATGACTATGTCAAGAGAAGGCCGTCCAAGTGGAGAAGCTTATGTAGAAATGGACACACCTGAAGACATTGAAAAAGCTTGTAAACGAGATAGAGATCACATGGGCCATCGTTATATAGAGGGTCAGTCAAAGATGATATAAAAAGCCAAATGTTTAAAAGAACAAATGATAATAAACAATTTTTTTCTATATAGTCTTTAAAGCAAAAAGAGGTGAAATGGAATGGGTAGTCAAGAGAAGTGGTTTAAATCTAGAAAATGCTATGGATGATGGTTGTGTGAGACTACGAGGTCTACCATTTGGATGCTCCAAAGAAGAGATAGCACAGTTCTTCTCAGGTATTTTATACCACTCATATAAATTTGTATCTTATCTATTTTTTAATACTATAAATTGCTAGAAGTTCACTTACAATTTGTTAATGACCAACATGCCCTTATTTTATTTTTATTTTATCAAATTATTTCTTTGTCTAATTTTTGTCAATTAATAGAAGTCTTGAACCACAGGGACTAAATGCTTCTGATGGTTATAGTACATATGCATTGTAGTATTGTAAGGTAAATAAGAATGAGGTAATATATATTTTTTTTATTTCATTTTAATTTAAAAAATGAACATAGGTACTTCAAATAAAAGGAAATTTGTATTGGAAAAGTAAATAACACATGTATTTGCTAAAAAACAAATATGGAAGTAGAAGTATCTTCCAGAGTAAGACACATACTTAAATGAAAGTTTCTAATATTGCATTAGTCTTCAATGCTGAATTCTAAAGTTTTTATACCCGTCCCAAGCAGTGTCTCTGTGTTTCTCTAATCATCAAATAGCCTGAGTTAAGATTTAAGATTGTGAAAAATAAAGTTCCTATGTTCTAAGTCCCTTTATAGACGAAAAAAGACATTCATTATAATTTCCATATGCTTTATACATTTTATTTATATTTTTATGTTTTGAAAGTAGAACTTAATTCTTAACTTCGGCGTAGTGAACATTTTTTTCTTTTTTAATTAATTAAGAAAAATATATGTATATATATTTTTGGAGCGAGAGGTTTTGCACGTAATGTGCAAAGGATATTTACATCTTGCTTCTTTATAAGGGTTTTAATAAACTGACGATACTATAATTAATAATGGGTGTTACGCTACAATGTCGATGTTTGATTATGTGTGGGTCAGGGTTGGAGATATTGCCGAACGGGATTTCACTACCGACAGACTACACGGGCCGCAGTACTGGGGAGGCTTACGTTCAATTTGTTAACAAAGATGTTGCGGAGCGCGCTCTGCAGAAACACAAGGAAAAGATAGGACACAGGTGGGGCACTGACGCTAGCTGGGTTTGGGTATACTTATGACTTTTCAATATCATTTTATGATCGTAGTACATGTAGGTATATAAATTTTGTTAGTAAATAGCGGGAGCGAGTTTTTACATAGATGCAGTTTCTTTATTTTTTTATTGAACAAACGAAGAGATATTAAAAGAAATAAGAGATTTCTTCTCATGATTAATGACCATGAATTGTATGAAAAGAAAAGAAAAAAATGCATTGTTATGCATAATAACGATTATATCAGTATTGTTATTATTTTAATCGCATAAAGAAACTGCCTCTCACGGAACACAAATAAAAGAAAGTTAGTCGTACGTAAGCGAAAGTACTGTTGGCCCAACTGAAACCTATGGGTGGGTGCCGGGCGGGAGGTACCCCCTTACATCGTCACCAAATCCCATGGGAGGTGGGTAGGGCTAACCCAGGATGGGTGGGCGCTACAGAGGTAGTAATCATCGATCTAATTTGGCACACCTGTTTGACAATTGCACAATTGTACGTTTTATGCAAACAATACAATAATTTAAGCTGAAAGGCTTTGCACAGTTTTTTTTTTTATAAGATCACTACATATAGTTGATACATACAGCTCATAATTGCACGGAAATATATATTGTCATGGTAGTACAACAAAGAACGCTAACCTTGAAGTTTTAGCTTACTACAAGACTGTTGAACTTTTGAACTCAGAATATTTTCTTTTAGTTGTATCGCTTCTCGATACTTGCGCATCGTTTACCATCTGTTTCTTTTTTTTCTTATCGTCTCGAATTGCATAAAGTGCAATTGTAATTGTCATAATACCTGTGGACCATCAGCATCTCAGTGGCTTAGGGTGACATAGATACATCAGAATGCAATGTCACCGAGGGAGGGTATCTACACAAAGGTTTAATAAATATGTGGAGGTGTAGTATGAACAAGTTAATCCATTTAAAAAAAAAATGTTCAGTATGGATTTTTTCTTCGAATCACTCCATTCTTTTTTGTATCGAACGATATTCGATTATTTCTGCTACACACAGAAGGTTTATTTTTGGATATTCATATTTCTTGTTTGTATCTCTCTCTTTGTTTCAAAGTCCGGATTTCTGCTCATTGATATTTTTGCATTGAACTCTCTCTTATACGAGAAGGCAGCCGACTATATCAGCGGCAATGATATTGATACGAGGATACTAATAATTAACATAAATCTTAACAGATACATCGAAATCTTCCGAAGCAGCTTGTCTGAAGTACGCGCTAGCATTGGACCGAAAATGCGAGGTGGGCCAATGGGTGGCTTCAATCAGAGACCAGCCCCCTACGATCGTGGTGCTCGTTTCGGTGGAATGAATCGTTTCGGCAGTAATAGCAGAGGTTCTAGAAACAGAGGTAAGTAGCAAATTCATCAATAGAATTGTTTAAAGTTTAAGAATAACTTTATATAAAATTTATTTTATTTTTTGTTCTTTTCAATTATTTCTTTGATACTGTTTAGACTTCGATGGTGGTCCATGGGGAAGTGGTAACAACTTTGATTCACGCGGAGGCAGTATGGGTATGCGAGGTGGTTTAGACATGAAGGGTGGAAACTTCAGGGGCAGCGGTGATACATGGGGTGGTAATTCCGGCATCCACAGTATACACATGCGCGGATTACCATTTAAAGCTACAGAACAAGATATAGCTGATGTAGGTTTCCACTTGAAAGAACAGATGTATTAGATTTTAATCAGTTCGTGTATCATATAATGGAATTTTATTATATAATTCCAGTTCTTCAGACCTATCGAACCTGTAAACGTTCGAATTATTCTTGAAAATGGTGGACGCCCTTCTGGCGAAGCTGACGTAGAATTTGCAACTCATGAAGAGGCTGTGAAAGCCATGTCCAAGGTTTGTTGAATAGATATATTAGTTTGATTAGTGTTATGACTTTTCACCACCGAATTATATTTACTATTACAATGTTATATTACAGGACAAAAGCCATATGTCTCATAGGTATATTGAATTATTCCTAAATTCAACTGGCGGTTCAAGTGGTATGTCACTGGGTGGCATTGGAAATTTCTGTGGTGGTACGTTCTATTATTTATAGCTTTCATATTATTCTGGTTTTATCATTATTTTTCAAATTTTGTCAGTATTAAACAAAAAAATATGTATTTATATACTAGGTTTGGGCAATAACTTCAGGCCTGGATACTCCCCAAACAGAGGCTTTAGCTCTCAGCTAGGAGGAAGTAACTATAATAGTTTTTGAGGCCGGATGTCGCGTTTCTTACGCTACCGACGATAAAATGTTTCACAAATCAAAGTTTTAACATACTGAATTATAATTATCATAACGAAATTTCGTTTCCGTATTGCGTTCAGTTGAACATTGATTACTGCTATTTCATTATGTTTTAAGAATTACGTACATAATCATCAATAGAACATAAAGCTTATGTTTTAGTTTTTATAATGCTAAAGTAATACCGATAAACTTCAATATTTTTTAAGAGACAAACTTAATTAAGCGGAATTCATTATAATTGTTTTATCTGGTATTTTTTTCTTCGTTTTCATTTGTATTCAATTAAAATATTGAATATTAAATTGTCATTTTTTTTTCAAATCATTGGCATAACTCGAATTTCAGTTGTAAATTTGTACAATCATAAAGGATAACTTGTATTTTTTCAGAATAATTAGTGTAATTCCGTTATATCAAAAATCTAAGTCATGAAAACTATTCAATACCTTTCTTTTTTTATTCTTATAATACTGTTTCGATGCATTGTACATCCGCTATTTCATTACGACCTCACAAAAGTGTTCCAAATTCTAATATTAGAGAATAAGCATATTTATAAATTATATAACAGCTTCGACACCGAGTTATCGACAGAGTTAGTAATAATGTTTGCAATCGTACAAGGATATAGTTAGCTTATATCAAATGCAAACACTTCAACGATTACAATTCATACTGTAATATATTTATCTAAATAATAATTCAGTTACATTTACATAGTTTATGTTAACTCTATCGAATATGACTATTCTAAATGATACATGAGATGTTTCGAATGTGAAGTCTCGTTTAATGATATACATATATAAATATATATGTATATGATATTGTGAAAAAAGAAGTACGTTAAATGATTCAGCGTGTATTAAATTCTATCGGACTCTATTCCACTTTTGGCATTTATAAAAAATATATCTGCTTTCGAATGAGTCAATTTCACTTGTAGCGTACTTAGATCTACAAGTCTCGTGAAGAGCATGAAGAGTGACGTAAATAAAAATACTTGTAATATTTCACTACTCATAAGTGAAAAAGAAATAGAATACTCTTTATCTTTCATTATGGAAATGAATGTTGTAAACAATGCGGGAATGCTTGTATTCGTTTAGGACCTTATATTTTGTACGTGAAAAAAATCTATTCAAAAATGCAAAATGTATCCTTATGAATTATCTTGTGCATGAAATTAATAGGAATGGCGTATGTTTGATGTGACCTGTGTTTTATAAAGCATAACAATAAATATTATCTTCATAATTAATTGCCCTTCACTGCAATATACTCTCCTTAATTGATTCCTCTTTTAAAATAAAAATTCTTTTTATACTTAGATACTAAAAGAACTTTTATTACGTTAAAAAATAATACGATTATTTTCACACTTTCTTTTATAAGTTGTTTTTCATTTTATTATATATCTATAAACTTTTATAAACAAAGTTTCATTTTATTTTAACGCGAATAAATCATATTTCAAACAAACATTCAAAACGAATATAGACTATCGTAAAACAAAGGCATACATTATCTGTATTTGGTATGCTATACCATATCGAGTAATGTAGAAACGCCCGGATGAAGTACATATATATATAAACCACACAATTTAATAAAGTGTTTAATTGAAAGAATTTTTACTGTCGATTAAAGTTACTAATGTTTGTTCAAATAATTTGACTTGAATGTGACACGAAATCAGATTTTATATGACAAAATAATTTAGCAGTGAATGTAATATTTTTTTCCTAAAAGGTAAGTAGAATTATTTTACATTTAAATAGATGTTCTCTTTTAACATGGATTCTTCTATTCATTTATTTACTTCAATTCGTTATATATAAAAATGCTTAATAAAAGAAAGTAAATATATATATTAAATTCATTGTTCATTGGTATCTATATATACGTATTATATTATTTATTACAGTACATATATTTTCCATGTTTTGTATTTTCAGTTATACCTGTAGACAAGAAGTTTTGGAATGGCAAGATAAAAGTCCTACTATATTGTCAACCCGACAAATCATTTAAAACCAGGTTAATTTATGATTATGTCACATGTATTCACGAATTGTCAAATCACACAAGGCACAATTGTACGCGGAAATTTAAAAGCCATCATTTGTTCAGCCTTGTTGTTTCGTTATCATTGATTAGAAAAGATTAGATTCTTTATCAGTGCTCCAGCGTAACTATTATTCACTATAAGTTTCGGGTATATTGTTATATGTCACGTACGCATAGTGTCATACACGAACGAAATTTATTTTACACTTCTTTTATCCAAATGTAAACAAGTTATTAACTCAGTTGTCAATTAAAGGAATAATTTTACAACGCTATTACGTACAATTTTTCTTTTATCCGCCTAGTAGATAATGATGTACTGTTATTTCTTGGTGATAATTTTGCACAAGTATAATTGAGGGTATTGTACTGATACCTTTCCTAAGATATACTTAAGAAAACATAAATGACTCTTATAAATTATCATATAAATTAAAAAAGTTATTAAATTATTTAAGAAACTATTTTGTAATTCCTATTGTGATACTTAAGTTTATTTTAGCTACAATTTTGTTTTAATATTTACATATTTAATTGTTTATAATTAATCTATAGCATTAAGAGATAGTTATGGAAGATAGGACAGAGGACAATATTCATAGTGAACAAGATGAGGATAATGAAGCTCAATATGTTAACAATGAAAGGTATAAAATTATAGTACCTTTTACTTATTTAATCTGTAAGAAAAATTAACACTTCTTTTTAAGATATAATGGTGCTAGTGAGGAACAGTCTTTTTTATTTCCTAGTACACATCCACGTACACCAAAAATATCTGTAGAGTATATCAGAAGACCTGACATGAGCCGGTATAATCCAGCTCTAAGGAATCTTATACCAATACGTCATGAAAAGCAGTATGTACTGGAATGGGTTCATTTTTATGAACTTCCTTTTAAAATAATGCTTTATTATATATTTTAGAGATAAAGAAACTATGCCAGCAGATAGTGCTGGATTATTTTCATACATTTTTTATACATGGATTACATCATTTATATGGAAAGCATATAAAAAAGGAATTGACATTACAAATATACCACATATTTCTAATTATGAGACTTCTAAGTACAATGCACATAGGTAATTATATTATGCTGAAGTAATTAGCAACAAAATATACATGTTATTTAAATAACTTCATGTTTAGACTGGAAATACTTTGGCAAGAGGAATTAAGTAAACATGGTCCACATTTAGCATCATTTCCAAATGTAGCTTGGAGATTTGTGAGAACAAGAATATGTATAGCTGGATTATTATTAACTTGCTCTACAATTTGTGGATTTATTAGTCCTGTATGGTTTTCAATTCCTTGTAGAAAACTAGTTCAATTCTTACTTGCTCAATAATATTTCTCTTTTAGATGATACTGATGAAAAAAGTGTTAGAACATGTTCAGTCACCAGAAGAAGATATATGGACTGGCATAAAATGGGCCTTGTTATTAATATGCTGTGATCTTTTAAGAACAACATTTTTCAATTGGACTTGGAACACTAACATTAGAACAGCAATCAGATTAAAAGCAGCTTCCACAACTCTTTTGTACAAAAAAATTATTAGACTGAATAGCCTTGGAAATAAAAGTATAGGAGAGGTAAGAATATAAATATATTTCAAAGTTATATTTAGCTTGTTTTAGTATGTACTACTATATTGCAATTTTAGTTGACTAATTTATTCACTAATGACAGTCAAAGACTCTTTGATGTAATCATTTATGGACCTATGATAATCAGTGGTCCAATAATTGTCATCTGTGGTGTATCTTATATACTATATGTATTTAGTCCATTAGCCATTTTTGGAATATTTGCATTTCTTATATTCTATCCTTGTCAGGTAATACGTTTACCTTTATACAATTCTTTAGATCACTTTCCATTTATCAAAAATTTTATTATACAATATTTTCTTTAACAGTATCTTATATCTCGGGTCGTTGGACATTTTCGTTCGAAAACAGTTGTTATTACAGATACACGAGTAAAATTAATGAACGAAATTTTAGAATGCATAAGGTTGATCAAAATGTGTTCATGGGAGAAGTACTTCAGCCATAAACTTCTTGGTATGATTATGGTTTCTTAATAAAATGTCTTAAATATGAAATATCTTAATGATATGTTATGGTAGCATTGATAATATTGACTTGTCTTTCAGATATACGAAAAAAAGAGGAATACTGGTTACACAAAACTGTATATTTTCAAAGCCTTGCTATATCTTTGACACCAGCTGTACCTGTGATATCTGCAATTATAACGTTTCTAGCTCATTTATCTTCAGGCAATAGCTTAACTGCCGCTCAGGTATACATTAGAAAGATTTAGCACAGCTACTTCTTTGAATTCTTTTGGAGGAATATTAGAATAAGTAATTCTAAATTAATTGCACGTAAAATGGATAAAAATTTAGAAATCGTGAAATTAGCACTTCAATGGCCGGAAACATTTATTCTGCACAAAATGTTTAAGGTCATAAAGCAAATGTTGCACTTAATGAAATATATATTGCAGGCTTTCCCAATTATAACATTTTTTGGAAATATGCTGAGATTGGCACTCACCTCCCTTAAGGATTCTACACGATATTTTATCGACGCCCATATTGCTCTTAGAAGATTCAAGGTCTCCTAAAGTTTATGTTTAAATTATAATTTAATTTCAAGGTTTTCCATAGTTTAAGTCATAATTTAGTCTAGAATTTAGTGGGTGGACTTTCGTACTTATTATTAGCAAACAAATTATCGTGTATTTTAAATTAAACATTTATATTTTATCGCCAAAAAGTTATAAAAAGTAGATGTTATTTGCACGAGAGTTGTTTCGTTGATGATATGTACCTGACTTTAAATGTCAGTGGTAAGTGGTTAAAAAATGGTTAGCTTTTGATAATGGTAAAGGGGAAAGTACTGCATATTGTGTAAACAAACACGAAATAATTGCTTTTTCTCTTACTCCTCCTGGTGGTATTCCTACATACATATAACACAATTTTGACTTACAGAGATAAAAGAAGGCTGCTTGTAATTAAAATGCAATTGATTGGAAATAGTTCATTTAAAAAATAATTTCTACTATATTAAGTCGTAATGTATTACTTTTCCAGGTGTTTCCCCTCGTGTCATTACTCAATTCTCAATTTCGTTCTTCTTTAATGTTTTTGCAAGTGGCCCTAGTTAATATTGCTGAATCACGTGTAACACTCAACAGATTGCAGGTGTTTATTTTTACCTACTATCGTTAATAATAATTACTAACTATGACGGTGTAAATTTGAAACTAGTTATCTTGTAAATAACATTTGCATTGTATATGATGTATATGTCACTTTTATCATAGGTGCGAAAGTGCATAATGCTCTGTAAATTAGTTCACTTAATGCTTGCTACTTTTTTAATATATACATACATATGTATGCTTTAATACTGCAACACACTGAAAGAATTTACTTTGCTTAAAAGTCAGTACAATTATATTTTACATATGTGTATTATGTTCAAAGCTTTAATTAATTCCTCTACATCTTCAACTATGCTTCTTGTTTATAACTGTTGTATGTGTAGCATGATAAATTTAACCCCTTGACATATGATTTTTTTTTGTGTGCTGAACTAATATTGTTCTGTTATGATAACCTATTGTTTTGCTGTATATATAAGCACTAGCTGTTTTATTTAAAATATTTAACACATTGATACATGATATGAATAAGCCTTGAAAAATCAGTATGTTAAATTTTTTTCTTTTTAAGCAAATAGTGTTCAAAAATGTTTTCAAGGTTTCCATATAGACTCTTAATAATTAGTAATATTTGTGCAGAATGTATTGCTTTTAGAAGAGCACCCATGCCATATATCAAAACCGATTGTGAAATCACAAGCCGTAGCAATTGCGAACGGTACATTCATTTACGAAAATTCTACTTTGCACACTAACAAGCCAAAGAATGTTAAACACGAAAAGTGAGTTCATTTCATCGATGGATGTTTCGCCATCATTTTTTATTGCTTCATTACAATTTTTTTTGTTTTATTCTATTTTTAATACTTTTTCCAGAGAAATCTCATCACATTCGAAGAATAAAGTTGAATTAGAGAAGCTCAATGAACATTCCAAAGAAACACAATATATAGAGGTACTCTCTGATATTAAATTTGGAGCACCAAAGGGTGGATTAATAGGAATCTGTGGTCATGTAGGAAGTGGAAAATCTAGCCTATTGCTTGCTACTCTAGGGCAGCTCAAAATGACAAATGGCTATATTTTGAGAGAAGGTTCTTGTGCATATGTTAGCCAGCAGGCATGGATCGTTAATGCTACTCTTAAAGAGAACATATTATTTGGAAATCAGTTTGATGCTAAACGATATTATCAAGCATTAACGGTATGCAGTTTAAAAGAAGACTTAAACATGTTGCCTGGTGGTGACGAGACTGAGATCGGAGAAAGGGGTATAAATCTTTCCGGGGGTCAAAAGCAAAGAGTTGCCCTTGCTAGAGCGCTTTACGCTAATCGGTAAGAACTAGTTTATTTTTTTAAAGAAAAATTCACCAATACAGTTAAAAAAAACTTGTTTCTTTTATTCAAGAGATATTTACTTTTTGGATGATCCATTAAGCGCAGTGGACGCACACGTAGGCTCTTACATTTTTAAAAATTTAATTCTTGGAACCCTCAAGAACAAATGTGTTCTCTTTGTGACACATCAGGTTCAAGTACGTTTTGAACATGTTAATTTTATCGATACATTTATATTGAATATGTAACATAATCCTTCATTGATTGCAGTTTCTAAAACACTGTGATCAAATCTATTTATTGCACAAAGGTAGAATTGTAGAAGAAGGTACACATGATGAACTGATGTGTTTAAATAAAGAGTATGCCACAATGGTGGGCAGCATGCTATTAAAAACAGAGAATGCTATGGATAAGTATGCATCCTATGAATTATTCTTTTAAAACTAATAGTTTCCAAATTAAATATACTCAATTTTAATTAATTTAGTGAAAATTTAACCACAATTCAAACAAATAGCAGCGATTCCAGTACTAATTTGAAGAATGAAGTAGGATGCAACTCTGCAGATAATTATGAAAATACCGAGGTTTCGAAGAAAATACGAGGAGGAGGTACGTACTAAAAAAGTTTATTTTATCTATTTAATAGTATTGAATTTAAATCTATCTTTCAGGAGCATCTCTCACTACACAAGAAAAAGCAGAAACGGGTACTGTCAAAGCATATACATATCACGTATACGTAAAAGCAGCGGGTGGTTATTTTGTGGCTGTTTTAGTGTTTTTTACGCTGTTTTTAAGCGTTGGAAGTTCTGCATTTAGTACTTGGTGGTTGGCCACATGGATTAAGGCCGGCGGTGGAGTAAATATCTATTCTACTTTACTTGCATTACATATTTTTTCTATCTTTATTATAATCATTAATTTTTTTAAGAATATAACTGACCCCAACACTAATGAAACTATAGTATCAAATAATTTGAGTGACAATCCAAATTATTCGTACTATCAAGGTATTTATACTGGTTGCATTGGAGTCATTTTGTTAACAAGTCTGTTGCGTGGCTTGGTTATTATGTACACCACAATAAGTGCTTCAACAAAGCTACATAATAAAATTTTTAAAAAGCTAATCAAATCAACGATAACGTTTTTTGAAACTACTCCTATTGGTAGAATACAAAATATTTTTAGTCGAGACATCGATGAAGGTAAGGCAGCCCATACAAGAAAATATTTTTAGAATATGTCACATAAAGGTAATCTAATCATTTCTTTGTTGGTTTTTTTTTCTTTGCAGTTGACAATTATATACCGATTTCCGTAGAGAACATGGTGCAGAATATTTTTACCTGTAGCTTTGCAATTGTGTTCATATGCGCAATAATACCCTGGTTTTGTTTACCATTGATCATTCTTGCCGCTATCTTTCTCTATATTAGTAAAGTTTTTAGGTGAGATTAATGTCTTTCAGTGGAAATCTATAATACTTATTATAATTAAATGTAGCAAAAGTTAAAACTTTTCAGAGTAGCAATGAGAGATTTTAAGCGAATGGAGAGCAATTCACGATCTCCTGTTTTAAGTTTCATTACAACTTCTGTTCATGGTTTGAATACCATTCATGCATTTCAGAAGGAGAAAGCATTTGTGAACAAGTGAGTTTCTTCAAAAGAAGTACTCCTACATTTTTAAGTAATGGATTACAGGTGAAGATAACGATAAATTACTGCGTTTTAGATTCGAAGAATTACTCGATTTAAACAATTTGTGTCTTTACCTCTGCCAGTCGGTTATGAGATGGTCTGCTGTAAGACTCGACAGTTTGGCAATTGTTTCCTCTTCTATCACCGCGTTTCTTGTGATAGCACTCAAAGACCAAATACCTCCAGCCCTTGCCGGTCTGGCAATGACATATGCTACGCAAATGACAGGTGTCTTCCAGTACACTATAAGATTAATGGCAGAAACAGAAACACGTTTTATAAGTGTTGAAAGAATAAGCTATTATCTGAGGGTAAATAAAATAAGCATTAGTATGTTATAACAGTAACGTGTAATTAAGTTATAAAATAATGATATATACATGTATATATATATATATAACACAGACCTTGCAAAAAGAAGGAACTTCTGAGGAAGATCCTACAAATCCTCCAGATCAATGGCCCATTGATGGCAAGTTGGAGTTTCGTAAAGTTCAATTAAAATACAGGAAAGAACTACCACCTGTACTAAATAATATTTCATTTGTCATTAAAGCTGGAGAACATATAGGTAACAATAATTTAGTAGCATATTCACAATTATCTTTTGTACAATCCGATCAATTTTAGGTATCGTGGGAAGAACAGGAGCTGGAAAAAGTTCGCTTATCGTTGCTCTATTCCGATTAGTCGAGATCTCTGATGGGAAGATTAAGATTGACGATATAGATATAGCAAAAGTGAAACTAAAATTACTAAGAAGTAAACTATCCATAATTCCTCAAGATCCAGTTCTCTTTAATGGAACCATACGGTAAGTAAATTTGATAAATTAAAAAAAAAAAGTTTTTAAAAATTGACTAATATCTGGGCATAAATTGTAGATCGAATTTGGATCCATTTAATCAGTACAACGATTCTGAAATCTGGAGTGCTTTAGAAAAAACACAATTGAAAGAGAAAGTTAAAGTAATGTCAGGTCAATTAGATGCGTCGGTTGAAACTGGTGGAAATAATTTAAGCGTTGGCGAGAGACAATTACTTTGTTTATCAAGAGCACTTTTACGTAATGCTAAAGTACGGTTTTAAAGAAAATTTTTTGTACCAACAAATATATTATCCATTTAGTGTAACAATTTATAACAAAATTTTAGGTATTGGTATTGGATGAAGCAACAGCTGCTGTTGATCCTGAAACTGAAGTCGCAGTACAGAACACAATACAAAACGGGTTCTCGAATTGCACTGTATTAACTATAGCTCATCGTTTGAAGACTGTTATTTCATGTAATCGTATAATCGTGATGAAAAATGGCCAAATAATTGAATTTGACGCACCATCAGTACTTTTATCCAATCCAAACACTGAATTCTCGAAAATGATGGCTGCAGCAGAGAAGACTATAAAAAAAATTTAAATCCAGTACTATTTAACAATAGTATTGTATTTATTAAACAAAACTATTAACTTCAAGTTAAAAAAAGAAGTATTTTTTAGCATATACTAGAAAATTAATGATGAAAATGATACTCTTTATTTTCAATAACGATTCAATAATAAATCATTTATTTTTTTAATACATATATACATTATAACCGTATTGTATCTTATTGAAAGTCAATGTACTATAAATAATTATTTCGAAATAAAAACTTGGCAAATTTGATAAATTATTACAATTGTGAGTTTTTTTTCAAATATTCCGTCCATTAAAAATACCTATCAAAATAAAAATATCTATCAATTTAAAATATGTCGATTCTCGCGCGTTCCTTCATGATTTGAAATATTGATTTACTAGCGATGATAACAACTGCTCATGCTCGAGCTTTCACTATTGCTGGAAGCTCAGAACCAAAAAATGTTCACCGCCATGCCGCCAGCTTGTTGTTACTAATAAGATGTTTATTAAACGTTAAGCTTTATCGTTGCTTTATACTGAAATGTAGTCTATATACATTGCCGTAAAGGCAGTTTTCGTCGTCGTCCAAATTGTTAAAAAAAAGGTGGGCTAGTGTGATTAATTAAATCATTTTTACTCGACACGATAATTATAATAGTCCTGATTAATATTGTGTTAAAATCTTATAAACATTCGTGTTCTTTTAATTATATTATAAGAATTTACACAATTAATTTTTTCACATTCAATGTCATTCAATGTTATATTTCTTTTAAATTTTTCACATGTAATTATTTGATGATTTTGTTAATAGTTATACAATTGTTTTGATGATGATGTGAAAGAAGACAGATTGATATTAGAATATATTCTAGAATATTTGTATTATTCATAAAGTGTTTCAATTATAGGCCTCACCATTGCGAATATAATTCCTATTATGATGCTGGGGCGCAAGCAGAGCCTCAAAGGGGAACCCGTCTTGGCCGATTACGGGCCAGAGGAGTCCCTCAATGAGAGCGCTGACATAGAATGGGTGAATAAGGTATATTCTAAATATGTTCATTTATACATACAGCATAAATGATTATCTATTCTTTGTAACAATTACCTGATCATTACAGCTATGGGTGAGAAGGTTGATGAGGTCTTGTGCTCTGGTATCTTTAGCTTCCGTTTGTTTGAATACACCAAAAACTTTTGAAAAAGTTCCACCCCTTCAATATGTTACCTTTGTTTGTGATTTAGTCGTTACATTCTTATTTACCGCTGAAATGATTGCCAAGATGCATATAAGGGGTATACTGAAGGTAATTTACCTAATATTGATAATATACTTAACACCGATTTGAATTATTTCATTTTATTACAGAGGGATAAGTCTTACTTGAAAGATCACTGGTGCCAATTCGACGGAAGTATGGTTGTCTTCCTCTGGTTGTCCGTAATTTTACAAATGTTTGAGATGCTAGGTTTCGTTTTAAAATTTAGTTACGTCTCTATACTACGGGCACCACGACCTTTAATTATGATACGCTTCTTACGAGTCTTCCTTAAGTTCTCCATGCCGAAAGCTAGAATTAATCAAATCTTTAAGTGAGTTAGGAACTTACACATAAAAAAAATTCATCAAATTCATCATTCATTGTATTACTTGTCTTTCTAGGCGTTCGAGTCAACAGATATATAACGTGACTCTTTTCTTCCTTTTCTTCATGTCCCTCTATGGTCTTCTAGGTGTTCAGTTCTTTGGTGAATTGAAAAACCATTGTGTTCTCAATACCACACATCCAAAGCGTATAACTATAAATAGTTTAGCCATTCCTGACACATTTTGCTCCACTGACCCGGAATCAGGATATCAATGTCCAGAAGGAATGACTTGCATGAAACTTGAATTGTCTAAGTACATCATGGGTTTCAATGGTTTCGATGAATTTGGTAATAACACTAGTTACACTTAAAAATATTGATTATAACATTTTACAATTGTAGTAACATATATTGAAGAAATGATTTTTTCTTTTAGCTACCAGTATTTTTACCGTCTACCAAGCTGCATCGCAAGAAGGATGGGTTTTTATTATGTACCGCGCAATAGACAGTTTACCCGCCTGGCGTGCAATTCTTTACTTTAGCACAATGATATTTTTCTTAGCTTGGTTGGTGAAGAACGTTTTCATAGCCGTTATCACAGAAACTTTCAACGAAATACGAGTACAATTCCAACAGATGTGGGGTGTTAGAGGACACATTAGTAACAATACAGCATCACAAGTAAGCAACAGAATTAAGTATAAAAGATAACCTGGAGATTAATAAGCGTATTTAACTTTTTAGATATTAACTGGTGATGACAACGGTTGGAAATTAGTAACATTGGATGAGAACAAACATGGTGGACTGGCTTCTCCTATATGTCACGCTATTCTCAGGTCTCCTCACTTTCGCATGGTGGTGATGTGCGCCATTTTGGCGAACGGAATTACTACCGCAACAATGAGTTTCAAGCACGACGAGAAGCCGCGGCACACCTATTACGATAACTATTACTACGCTGAGATCGCATTCACGATATTCTTGGACCTCGAGACGTTATTCAAAATCTGGTGCCTAGGATTCCGCAGTTATTACAAGCATTCGATTCACAAATTCGAGCTGCTCCTGGCAATTGGTACAACCATACACATCATTCCGTTCTTCTATCTTTCTGGATTCACGTATTTTCAGGTTTCTATATCAACTTTCGTTCAGATCCTAAAACAGATCACAAGTTAAATAATAATTAAAAGGGAAGACAGAATATGGAAATGTACAGTGCTAAGTTGATGCAGATATTGTTTTATATATAGGTACTTAGGGTGGTCAGGCTTATCAAGGCATCGCCGATGCTGGAGGATTTTGTATATAAAATATTTGGACCTGGGAAAAAGTTAGGCAGCCTAATCATATTTACCATGTGCCTGTTAGTCATATCGTCCAGTATATCTATGCAGCTGTTTTGTTTTCTATGTGACTTCACGAAATTTGAGACGTTCCCAGAGGTAAAATAGAATGTGACAAAGTATGTGATTCAATTAGGTGTACTGATGAAAAATATTTCAGGCATTTATGTCGATGTTTCAAATCTTGACCCAAGAAGCTTGGGTCGACGTTATGGATGAAACGATGTTGAGGACATACGAGACAATGGCACCCTTCGTCGCCGTGTATTTCATTTTGTATCATCTCTTTGTCACGCTGGTAAATTTTTATACGTCCCTTAATTGTGATGCAATTATTAAAAAACATCTCATTTGCTTTTTAAGATCGTGTTAAGCTTGTTCGTCGCCGTAATTTTGGATAATCTTGAACTGGACGAGGATATCAAGAAACTGAAGCAATTGAAATTCCGTGAACAAAGCGCAGAAATAAAGGAAACCCTACCATTCAGATTGAGAATTTTTGAGAAGTTTCCTGATAGTCCTCAAATGACATGCTTGCACAAAGTACCATCAGACTTCAATCTTCCGAAAGTAAGTACATGTTTTCGTATCATAAATAGACAAAAAATATAGGTATTTTTATGCATATTTCTAATTTAGGTACGTGAAAGTTTTATGAGACAATTTGTATTTGAAATGGAAAATGAAGAAAACGAAGGAGTAAAGAAAAAAAAAGAAACTTTTGATTCGAAAATGATATATAGGAAACAACGTCCAGTAAAAATTTTAAACAATCCACCTAAAGTAAGAAACGTCGTCACCAGTCTTAAAAATGATGCTATTATTTACATTATAAAGTAAATAGAACATTTACTACTCTTTAATATTATATAATAACGTCTGCATTACTAAATATATCTGTATTCTTTTTCTTTAAGGGATTCAAATAATCAGAGATTATTGTTAGGAGATTCTGCCATGATACCAGTACCAGGGAAAGGTCTTTTGAAGCCACAGGGTACTGTCAGTAGTACCAAGCAACTTCGTATTGATCAGAAAAAGTATGATCTATTATTTAAAGAAATCTCTACTTGAAATAATAATACATTCGTCGATGATCGTTGAAACAGGTCGATTAGAAGGAGCGTTCGTAGTGGTTCGATCAAGCTAAAACAGACCTACGAGCATCTGATGGAAAACGGTGATATTGGAGGTATAAACAGAGTTAGCTCTTCTCGAAGTAGACCGCATGATTTGGACATTAAATTGTTGCAAGCAAAGCGACAGCAAGCGGAAATGCGAAGGTAAGATGCAACAGTTTACCACGCTAGTTCCAACACGTTTACACTTTTTTCAATTTTTAACTGAACGCTTGTCACGATTGCACTATTATGTAGAAATCAACGAGAAGAAGATTTACGCGAAAATCACCCATTTTTCGACACACCACTGTTCGCAGTACCGCGTGAGAGTAAATTCCGTAAAATCTGCCAGTCGCTTGTTTACGCGAGGTACGATACGAATGTGAAAGATCCTTTAACTGGGAAAGAGAGGAAAGTCCAATATAAGAGTCTGCAGTAAGTGCTTCCAATGCAAACATAGCTGCCTTGATACGCCTTAAAGTATTGCTTGAAAATTAAAAAAAAAAAAAAAAAACATTACTAACAGCCAATATATAATCACACGCTTTGTAGCAACTTTCTTGGCTTGGTCACGTACCTTGATTGGGTAATGATCTTTGCTACCACCATGTCTTGCTTCTCCATGATGTTCGAGACACCACGGTATCGCGTGATGGAGGTTCCAGCGTTGCAGATTGCAGAGTATGGTTTCGTGATTTTTATGAGCATTGAGCTTGCTCTTAAGATCCTCGCGGACGGACTATTCTTCACACCAAAGGCCTATATCAAAGACGTTGCCTCTGTCTTAGATGTTTTTATTTATGTTGTACGTTGACAAAGAATCACTCTCGTTATTCCCTTAAAAAAATTTCATTCAGCTAATTTAGCGAACGTTTAGGTTAGTCTCGTGTTTCTTTGTTGGATGCCGAAGAGCGTACCACCGAATTCTGGCGCACAGCTTCTCATGATTCTACGCTGCGTTAGACCTCTAAGAATCTTCACGCTTGTTCCACATATGAGGAAAGTCGTTTATGAGTTATGCAGAGGGTTCAAAGAAATCTTATTGGTAAATAATGCTAATTAGAAGATTATAAGTCTAAAAACTTCTTAAATACTATCTATAAATTGTACGTTATACGCGGAGCTCAGACAAAGAATGAATAAGAAGTTTTTTAGGTGTCTACTCTGTTGATTCTGTTGATGTTCATATTCGCGAGTTACGGTGTACAACTTTACGGTGGTAGATTAGCGCGTTGCAACGATCCCACTATACTGAAACGAGAGAATTGCGTTGGAGTGTTCATGAGAAGAGTTTTCGTGACGAAAATGAAATTACGACCAGGCCAGAACGAGAGCTATCCGTCTATATTGGTACCACGTGTTTGGTAGGCTTATTAGTGAGAAAATATCGAATACAAATTAGTCAACAGAAAGATGGTTTTTAAGTAAACACTGAAATATTTTAGGGCTAATCCTAGGAGGTTTAATTTCGACAATATCGGTGACGCGCTGATGGCACTTTTCGAGGTACTCTCTTTCAAAGGGTGGCTCGACGTTAGGGATGTTCTTATCAAAGCTCTTGGTCCCGTGAGTTATTGTCATTATCATTAAGAAATTTGTACGATGATGTTACTCGATGATTTTTTAGGTCCATGCTATTTATATCCACATCTATATTTTCCTGGGATGTATGATTGGTTTAACTCTGTTCGTCGGTGTCGTTATCGCTAATTATTCTGAAAATAAAGGAACCGCGTTACTCACGGTCGATCAAAGACGATGGTAAATCATTAATTAATTAGCATAATCAATTTCAAAGGAAGATACATTGATAATACAAATGAATATATATTGTGACATGAATAGGTGTGATTTAAAGAAGCGACTGAAAATTGCACAACCGTTGCACTTACCGCCTAGACCAGATGGAAAGAAATTCCGAGCGTTCATCTATGACATCACTCAGAATATATATTTTAAAAGATACATCGCGGCTATGGTACTCATAAATAGTGGCCTTCTGTGTGTTTCTGTGAGTTGGATAATTTTGATTCTTTTAATGCACAAATAATGACAACACCACACAACACCACACAACACCATACCACGTTTCAAAATCAATTAACGAACTCTTCGTTAGAAAAAAATGAGAGAAAAAAATTAAACTTACCTCTCGTGGAAAGAACAGGATTCAATGACTGTTACTTTGAATCATTTGTTCCTTGCCGGCTACCATTAGACCGTGGTAAAAGTAAACCGTACACGTCTGCTTTTTGCGTTAACGAGCTTTTTTTTATTTTGTCCCTCCCCCCCCCTAAAGTGGAGAATCGAGGAGGAACACACGGAAGCACTCGCTACGGTGTCCACGATTCTGACACTGATCTTCCTAGTGGAAGTAATCATGAAAAATATTGCTTTTACACCACGTGGCTATTGGCAGTCCAGAAGAAACAGATATGATTTGCTCGTGACAGTCGTGGGTGTTATTTGGATCGTCATTCATTGTACGATGAAGGTACGTCGGTAATATTTATAATATCCTGTCACATCGTTCAGTGTTTCCATTATGTAAGCTATATAAAAATATATTGAACAATGTGTAACTGACAGGTGTAACTTTCTTACAGAACGATTTGTCATACGTAATCGGCTTTATGGTCGTGATCCTTAGATTCTTCACCATCACTGGCAAACACACGACCCTAAAAATGTTGATGTTAACGGTCGGAGTGTCCGTTTGCAAAAGTTTCTTCATTATATTCGGCATGTTCCTTCTTGTTTTCTTTTACGCGCTCGCAGGCACGATCATCTTTGGAACCGTGAAATACGGTGAAGGTATAGGAAGGTAATGTCCATGTATTCCTGCAATAAAACAACGGGACAATGTTAAAATGGCTCTCTCTGACATGATTGTCAATTTAGACGTGCCAATTTTGAGACACCTGTGACTGGTGTCGCGATGCTCTTCCGTATTGTAACGGGAGAAGACTGGAATAAGATAATGCACGATTGCATGATACAACCGCCATATTGCACTCCGGCTGCTAATTATTGGGAGACCGATTGCGGCAACTTTCATGCTTCCTTAATTTATTTTTGTACTTTCTACGTCATTATCACTTACATTGTTTTGAATCTTCTGGTGGGTAAGTGCCAATCTTTAAAGTAGACACGCTGAATGATTTTTTGGAGTGACACCATAAAAGACTAATCTTTTAACAACAGCTATTATCATGGAGAACTTTTCTCTATTTTACTCGAACGAAGAAGATGCGCTGCTATCGTACGCTGATATTAGAAACTTCCAAAACACATGGAATGTCGTTGACAACCATCAGAAAGGTTTCATACCTGTGAAACGGGTACGCCTAAAGAAGAAGTCGTTACAAGATTAATAGATTGTTATAAATCGATTAGAAATAATGATATATTAGTTTGTTTTAGGTGAAGTTTATTTTACGATTATTGAAAGGTAGATTGGAGACCGATCCGCAGAAAGATCGACTTCTCTTCAAGCACATGTGCTATGAATTAGAGAAATTGAACAACGGCGAAGATGTTACCTTCCACGATGTCATCAAGTAAGTTGCTATAGATTTAAAGATATTAGCAATTATAGTTTTACAAGATATTCATGAGATACTTTTTCCTCAGTATGTTATCTTATCGTTCAGTCGATATACGAAAAGCCCTTCAACTTGAAGAATTACTAGCAAGGGAAGAATTTGAGTATATCATTGAAGAAGAAGTTGCCAAGCAAACGATTAGAAACTGGATGGAAGGTTGTGTGAAAAGAAAACGTGCAAGTGAGGTGAGTTTAAAGACAAAAAAAAATATACAATAAAATAAAGCTGTAAAACTCACAATTGATGTATTACAGAAGCAACAAAATAGTCCTGTGGCAGGTCTTCGTGCAAGTACTGACCAACCATTACTGCAACAAGAGCATACAGAAGAGAAAGGAAAAGAAACAGCAAAAGAAGAGGAAACTGAAACAAAGGTAAGTCTTTTATGTTTACAATTTTAAATCTCTTTGCTTATTATTTTCATTTTAACATGGAACAGGATGTTGATGGTGCTAGGCACAAAGCAAAAAAGCCAGTAGTTCTTCCAAGATCTGACAGTATAGGCAGTGGATCAGGAAGAAAGTATTTAACTCCAACCCTGTCAGATCCTGCCTCAATTAGAACTGAAAAAGACAAGAATGTAGTACCTAAAAAACGAAACAATAGACCACCACGTAAGTATACTTTTACATTATATATTCATACCTTTCTTGTTGTGTTTTTCTCCAACGTAAGCTTTCCATTTGAAGCGGCGGCGAAAAATAATTTGCCACATCTCACAGAGAGTACTGAGCAAAGCAGACAACAACGGGAGACTGCTAATGCAAAGGCAACTGCGCCAAAATCTTCCAGCGTTATGTTAGAAGTTAGAGAATGGTGGAAAGAGCAGTTGGCGTACAGTGAGTCCAGCGAAGATGAGGTTTAAATAAGATTTGCATCTTGCAAACGCGTACCAATTAAAACTATAAAGTGATACGGTATAAAAATGGAGCACATGTTTCTAATGTTGAAAATCATTCATACACGACTTGTACTTTACTGTTGTTTTACATGTGCTTCGCTTTTAACCGTTTGCATGAATGAAAAATTAGCGAATGAAGATTATCAAAGCATGAATCAGAGAAGAAGGAAGGTGTATATGCTGAAAATAGCCGCGTTAAAGGCAAGGCGTAGGGGAAGCACCTTCAAACACAGACAAAAATAAAAGGTACAATTCCTGTAACGCTATTAAAAATTTTAAAGGAGAATTATTTTTTTGCGTACTTTTTCAGTCTTGTTTTCTACGTCGAGAGAAGAATATAGAGATACATAGGAACATGATTTATATTCATTCTGTGTTATTTTTTAATAGAAAATTTTGCAACGTTATATCGAAACAATGAAAGAAATATTATTTTATTATTGCACGAGGGAATTGTATTAATACAATTTTCGTTTTTATATTTTTTTAAAAAGTATTTTTTTAAATAG